TATATATATATATATATATAAATAAAATAAAGGGCTTAGTCCGTCTGTCTGTCTGTCCATAACACTCTTGGAGCACTCTGATTGGTTACTGAAACAACCAATCGGAGTGCTCCAAGTGCGTTACTGACAGGAGTTGGTGGTGGTACGGTGGAGCACTGCCATGATGGTGGGGACAGAACGGGGGGGCCAGGCCCTGCTCCTTGGAGGCAGTGGTGGCATGGGGTGCTAGCAGAGGGGGACGGAGGGGACAGCAGGGCAAGCTTCCCCCTAACCCCCGGCTCCTGGGAGGCAGCAGGGGCATGGGGGTGGGGAGGGAGGCATTAGGGTTAGGATTAGCAAGCTTCCCCCCCTCAGTGTCCCCCGCCCCTCGGTCATTCTTGATGGGCAATTTGTTAGTATATATATAATATAAAACTTCTACCAATGTCCTTGTGAGACTTTCCCAGTCTACTAATCTCACCTTCAAAGCAACTTTCTCATGTTTAGTCAGCATTCACCTTTTCTTATATTCATCCTGTTAGTTTTTACGAATGCAAATTGCTTACAGGAAGTCTGGTGCTCTTTTCATGTCTGTAACAGTACTTTCCTCAAAAGATATTCTCAGGAAATTTGAGGCTATTTGAAAGAGTGTAACCAGCTTATATTTTGAAGCTCTTCTTCTTAACCATATGGACTAGAACTATATATGTTTAGTTGTATGAATGTAGCACACACATATTCATATATATAAATACATACACACACACACCCATATATATACACACACACACTCATATATATAGCTATGTACACATATATTGATTTATATATGGATGAATGTGTGTGTACAGTACATATATATATACACTATATATACACACTTGTATACATGTATGAATGAATGTGTGTACATTCATATATGTGTGTGTGTGTGTGTGTGTGTGTGTGTGTTACATTAACACAAACAAACATATATATATAGTCCCCTTGGTTAAGGAGACAAGCTTAAAAACATGAGCTGGTTACTCTCAAAAGATTCAAAAATAGGAAAGCAAACTATTTGAAAAATAAATCTTTGTGGCCTGACCCATGGTTTTTGAATGCTTGAATCTAGTAGTTCTGAAGGTGATACCATTTTGTGTACATTAAGTTATGGTTAATTTTTCATTCGTGGTTAATTACCCAGTGGTGGGTAATTTTTGCTCCCCACAAACATCCTTCTCTTTTCAAAGATATATGAGAAAGCCTGCACAGTTCTGTTGCATCAGGCAATATCATTGTAATTCTACTACCTTTTAGGACTAATAATACAATTTAGCATTTGATTGACTGCATCTGATCCTTTTTAGCCATAAATACTATTCATTGGGGTTGAAAATTGTATGAGGTATACTTGTAGATGTCACATGCACCCTTTTTCCAGCACAGCTGGCATAGCTGTTAACAGCTCTTAATGAAAAGAAATTTCATTTGACAAATATTAAAGTCAAATGAAATTCCAAATGATGACAGACCCTGCCAAATGCTCAGATTCCCTGCCATATGCTCCATCTGTCATGAAAAAAATTCAAGCCATTGCTAGAATCAGCATTTTATATACTTTTTTACCTTTAAAGTTTGTTACTCATCTTTCATACACTAGAAGAGACAGCAGCATAGTTCTTCAAAGCAAAGCCTTTGCCATTTCACAAGAAATATGTTTTGAAATACCATATATTCTGTATTGAAATGATCAAAGACTGCAAAGGTTTAAGGAAATAAGAAATATAATCTTAGTCTAATTACAGAGCCATGCTAGCTGTTCGAAAGTGTCACTTTGACTAAAAGCAGGCATCATAACTTTCTCGAATACCATTGAGCTGCTACGAAATATATAATATGGCCCAAGAGGCTTGGTCTAGGAGTGAGGGGATGCAACTGCATGAAGGGAAATTTAACTCATCTCAGGAAGTGTTTTCTAATTCTAGAATGCATCAGAATATGAAGCAGATGCTCGAGTAAAGTGGTACAAGCTCTATCAAGTGGATATTTATAATTAGACTAGAAAAGGCAATCAAGAAATTACTGGAGGGTGGAATAATATATGTGCAATGTGAGGGCTTATATTACTGTGTAGCCATTTTTCATATACAGTTTCACAATTTAACGTAATAAGCCACATACTTTGGATTGTTCAAGGGTTTTCTAACTGTTAATGTCTCAGGAGCCATGTTAGTTGGTGGCACTGAGTGTTTCCTTGCTTTGCTAGCTATCACTGCATAAAACTAATTAGCGGGTATATAGTGCTTTATTCCCAGGCACTCTATGAACTGCTTGTTCTTCTTCAAAGCCATGTGATGTAGATACTAGATATTATTCCCCTATTTCACAGATGGGGAAAGTGAGGCCTAGAGAAGTGAAGCAACCTGATCAAGGCCCCATTTGGAGTCAGTAGCAAGGCAAGTTTCACATGGAGCCCTAAGCTCAGCTCTCAAGATCCTGCTGCTGGAAACCTTGTGTCAGTCTTTTATGGGAGGTGGTACTATATTAGCATTTGAAAAAACAGTCCAGGGGACTAGACTAAGTTTCCCGTGAGCCTCCTTCAGCAGGAATGATAAGAAGATAAAGCGATCCTCCCCACCCCAACTCATTGCCAGCACCAACTACAGCCCTGATTCAGGTAAGGTAGGTTTCAGTGAAAGCTGTAGCTATTTAAGTCAGAGGCTGTACTTGGTCCTTGCAGTTATCGAGTACAACCTCTGTGCAAGTCACACTTGTCTTATCCATCCACTGGATGCTGATGTGATGCACATTACCTGAACCGCATTTACACTTAAGGCATAATCTATCTTCTCAATAAATTGCTTGGCTATTCACTTCAGCAGGAACAGGAGCAACCCTTTGGCTTGCAGCTTGCACTAGGCTTTACATCTATGCTGAATTTGGCTCTGCCTCTGCTAGCAGCTCTGAATTCAAATGATCCATGGGAAAGGGCCAGTCCACCACTGTGATACATCACTTTGTAGATTTACTCTGGCTTTGAACAATGAGGTCTGCTATTGTCACTGCAGGAAGGCTAAACTGGGATTTGCGTTTAAAGCCTGCATCTCATTCGCCTACAAGGAGAAAATTTTAAATCCTCCAAACTCTTTGTCTTCCTTAGGTTATAATGCACCCTCTGAAACCACGGATATCCATTGTGAAAGGAGGAATTTGCATCATTATAATCTGGGTTATGGCCAGCTGTTTCTCTCTGCCCCACGCGATCTATCAGAACCTCGCAAAATTTTATATTGGGTAAGATGTATAAAAAGTGGTGTTCTTAAATGATTCTCTCAACTTAACCACCAGAAAGTGCAAAAACACTTACATCTTTTGCTCTATTGTTAAAACCATCTGACATCCAAACTGAAAGAACCTGAAATATCTGCTTTGCCTTTTATCATCTGAACAGTGAGTCTTCACCTTACATTTCTTACATGAACAGTGAAGATCAAGAAAGAAACTTTCATTTTCTCTTAAGTCTGCTCCACTGTTACTTTCTCAGGGCTGTACTATTTTGGTATCAGACATCACAGGTGGAGATTCATTTTAATTATCTCTATTAGACCTGAGAAGCGCAGGCAGAGATGAAAAGAGGTGTGTTTTTTTCCTTTTGTTTCAAGGCCTTAAAAACATGTTTAAATACATAAATACGATCTTTAGCACAAATGGGATTGAAAGTGTAAATCAAAGGAGCACTAACCTGTAAATTGGAAGTCATTTTCTTTCTATTTATTGTATCAGCTCAGCTCATTTGTAGCTTTTTCTAAGGTGTTTGTTCCCTTCGTACAATGTGCTTTTGGGTGTGGAGATAACTGTTTCTTTCTCCTTCTGTGCCCCAGGAACAGAACTATACGAATGGTCTGTCTTCCGAGCTTCCCTCCTCCTGCCGATCTTTTCTGGAAGTATCTGGACTTGACTACATTTGTACTTTTGTATGTGCTGCCCTTGCTTGTGATCTCCATCACATACACTATGGTGGCCAAGAAGCTCTGGCTGAGGAATGCCATTGGGGATATCACCATGGAGCAATACTATGCACATCAGCGGAAGAAGAAGATGACACTGAAGATGCTAATGGTGGTGGTGGTGGTCTTTGCTGTCTGCTGGTTCCCACTAAACTGCTACCTAGTGCTCATTTCCAGTAGGGCCATCCACAGCAACAATGCTCTGTATTTTGCTTTCCATTGGTTTGCCATGAGCAGCACCTGTTACAACCCTTTCATTTACTGTTGGCTGAATGAAAGCTTCCGTTCCGAGCTCAAGTCCCTGCTCTGCGTGTGCAAGCGGAAGAGTGAAGCTCAGAGCCATGCACTTCAGTCTATCTCCCCTCCTTTTAGGCATGCCTGGGTTGAGAACTGTCACTATAAAAGAAACAGCTCTTCCCAGAAAGCAAGGTCACCTTCCGAAAGGAACTCTGCAAAGACAGACATATCCAGTGTCCAGCCAGTTGTAACAGGGAACTAAACCACTGAATTGATGGGTGAACAGAGTCCCTACATCTTGAACCTAGAGAGTTTGGTGTACTAAATGCATTTGTATTAAACTGCAATCATAATCAACAGCTACCAGAGGCCTGGGTAATGGAACATGGAATCTTTTGGACTGTAGTGGTAAGAGCGGACCTAATTATGACTACATAGGTTTTCGGGTGGCAGCTTATTTAAGAGCAAAAACTAGCAAATGAAAGGATTTCATGTCTTTGATGTATTAATGATGTACTTGTGACGGGCTGGCTGGCAGTGACCTGGCCCAAGGGTTTTGAAAGGGCAAAAGATGATTGGAGGACTTGGGATTCCCTTTCTGCACCAATCAGGCCCCAGAGACTCCTCCCCCCTCCCCCCGTGTCCCCTGATTGGCCCTTTGGGTCACCTGGAGGGGGATAAAAGGGGCAGCATGGGCTGAGTCAGGAGAGACCAGTGAGGGACAACAAGGAAGAAGCTTCACAGAGCTGGCAAGAGCTGAGCCAGCAGGGTAGGAGCAGTGCCCCAGAAGAGACTGAAAGAGCAGGACCTGCAGGCAGCAGTGGGACCCTCAGCAGTGCAG